GAGCCTGAGCTTTACTCTAGCATCTGAGGGAGCTGTGGACACGACTCATAGAGGTGTGGGTCAGCTGTCGCTATTCAGTGTTCTTAAGCAGCCCAGCTGTATCTCACAGGCTGTAGTCACAATTTCTCTTCTTTGATGTCAGGGCTCTTGGGGCAAAACGTGCCTGGACACTGCCACACATTTAATGCCTTTCTGTGGTGCACACTGGAGGATGCAGAATTGGCTGGGTCTGTGATGCTTTATGAAGCTGGTCTGACCTATTTCAGAAGCAGTGAGAACTCTTCTCACCTAGTCTAACCCTTAGAGCAGCATAGAGTGACCAGTGCTACCTGGGGATAAGTCTTTTTTTCTACTTTCTATCCCAAGTCCTTCCCTTTCCACGGACACAGCAGAAGTGGTCCTTCAGAGCTGATTTACCCCTGCACCTGCTGTGTTTCTTTTCACTTTTTGTGGATGAGCAAGTACCCCTTTAGGGATGAGCATCTCTTTGCTCCTTCCATTTTACAGCTCACAGTGGGGTGCCCAGAACACCCCACAGTTGTGGGGAGCAGCTGGCGCAAGAGAAGTAAGTCCTGAGGCTGCAGCAAAGATTTTGGGTCATTTGCAGTGGCTCAGTGGGACCTTGCAGAGGCAAAAAGCAGCTGGGGATGTGCTCTACAGTTCTGTGCTGGTTTGCAGGTTCCTCAGGAGTGGTCCTGGGTCATCTGGCACGGTAAGTCCGATACTTTTAGAGAACTACTGAAAGCTACGGTAGGCCTTTTGGCTTCAGAATAAGAGAATATAACTCCCAGAGAATATCCCTGTCTGCACTCCCATAGATATGGGCACTCAGATGTGAGACCACATCTGGAGTACTCCACCCTGAATGCAACCCTAGCATACTGCTGACTGTCCCTGTTTTGTATGAACAGAAAAGTGTTACTATTGCCATGAAGTGACATATTACCTTTCATTAACCCTTACATTTCCTAGATGATTGTGTTTTTTCTCCTTTTGTGACATCCATTCGTCACACTCTCAGTTGGAGGACTGATAGGATTGAGATCTTACTTCTTCAGAAGTGATCTTACTTCAAAGCAACTATTTCTTCTTCCTGATGATTATAGTGATAGTGAATTTTTCAACTGAAATGTAAAACTCGGGGGTGTTATAGAACAAATAGAGTAGATATGCTAAGCCAGTTTAAGTGACAACACTTTTCGGGAAGAGAGGATAAAGTTAAGGAATGAAGCAAGTCATTAATCTGAGCAAAAGTGAAAAAAAAAAAAATCAGGGGAGCAGGAAAATGAATAGATAGGGCACGCACAAATCAATAGCAGGACTGCCATTAAACTCAAAAGGAGGCAAGTTTTGTTCCCTAAAGAAGGACAATTTTTGCAATGACCCTCATTGTCCACTTTGCATCATATCTCTTTGAAATTCTAGGCCCCTTTCTTCCATCTTGAATGCAGGATTGCATATACGCAATACTGTGATACAAGAACATTCTGCCTCTAAAACCATTTTGCTCACACTTCCACCTGCTCACCCTGCCACATCATCTGCCTCCTGGAGCAGCGCAGCCTGGCCAAGGGGTGGATGGGGCCAGGCTGAATGAATGCATGAATGAATGCATGAATGAATGAATGAATGGGGCCTTATAAGTATTTCTATAATTAGTCAAAGCACAGTAATTTTTTTTCCCTACAGGTTAAATACTGCTGATTAGCTGCTTACTTTTTAGAAAGTTCTCTGTCCTTAGTATTTACACGAGTCTTTTTCTGACCTGCTTTAAGCCCGTTAGTCCAAACCAGCTTTTTTCTTTTTTTCTTTTTTCCCCAAGACTATTTTTACGATTTTCAAGGATCAAATAACATCTATAACAATTAGTTTTCCATAGATCATTTCTTCTTTTTTCATAATTTTGCGTTCCCTTACTTTCTGGCTCTGAACTTTGCTTCTACAATGCAAAGGGATTCCAGCCACCACATGCATACAGGCAAGGCATTTTAGTGTGAGTTAGATACTCAGGCATACACAACCTGTAACCCACATGCTACGTGTATCCCAACTCAACTTGCACCCCCTACAGCTGTATCTATCATGGCAGCAGCTCTACCCTGATGAGTGGCCAGGCCTAGCCCGGAGTCACAGCAAGGTCTGCAGAGCAGCATTGACAAATAAAGCTACAGAACTGAGAAAAGGCTGTCACCTTAAGAAAATATTTTAAACTAAGTCACATGGCAAAAGAATGTAATGACAGTGCTTTCTAATGGATATAAGCGCCATAGCAGGTAACCATGCAAGACCATATGACCATACCTAACCGGTAACCATACATAAACTACAAGAACCATAGCAGCAGGTAATGAAGAAAAATTAGCTCACCCCTTCCAGAAACTAGTAACAACTCAAAAGAAGAGCAAACTCAGAGAGATACTGCTCCCTCTGCTGCTAACACTTAAATAAAAGCACCTTTTCCAATCATTGCTTGCACCTCAGCTCCCTGGGATAGCCTTGACCTCTCAACTAATGTTGAAAGAGAACCTAATTGGTTCAGGTTGTGAAGGGATGGAGTGCAGCAGAGTTGCCAGGTCACAGCCTGAACCAAAGATTGAGTAGGTCAGGGGTAAACTCCTGCTGTTTTGGAAACATGAAGTACAACGTGTATCGTGATGCAGGTACAGTACCTATCAATGATGTGATTGACAGGTGATTGTTGCAAGGTGATTGTTGACAGTCTTCTTATGGTTCTGATGGAACAGTACTTGATGTTGCTTCTGGAGGCTTATCTTCTTCAGTTCAGGTTTGGGTTCACTGGTTCCCAGAACTTCAGCACTCCACCACCTGCTGTCATGACATACCCTCATAGACACTGAAGCACGCTGAAGTGTTGATGCTCCTACCAGTGGTCCTGTGGACTTGACAGCCTCAAGGGGAGTAGTACAGATGTTTAAAAGGTATGAGGAGTGGTGGGTCTGCCTTCAGTGGTAGGATACAGGCTGTGTTTTTGTCTTGAGTCAAACACCTCCACTTGTGCTGGGGCATGTCCTGGCCTTTGGTACAACATCCTTTGTCCTGATATCTGGGGCAGGATCACTATATCAGGTACTACAGGGGGGTGGGGGTTCTCATTTGCCGTGTGGACATGTCTCACTTCAGGTGCAAGCATAAACACTCATAACTACAGGAAAACCACGTGGAAACAGAAATACGATCATGATGTATGTTCCACCGCCAAATGCTCTAGGAGTTCCGTAAACCGAGGTTTATGGAACCAAAATCAGATTGCTAGTTTCTGAAAGAGATTTGGTGAAGGCTTTGAGGTTTTCAAAGGAATAAGCCATTGTGAGCATAAAAGACAGCCAAGGACTAGGTAACAGTATCGAAACTGGGAGGTATGAGTTTGCTTCTCATCCAAGATAAATGGCAGAGAGGTGTACCTATCGGTGGTAGAAAAAGAGAGACCACACTCTACATCACACGGATAGGTGGCAAGATTAAATAAAATGCAGGCCACATGGGCAGATGATGTACAAAAGAAAAAGAAAACAAATGAAATCAGAGTCAGCCTGAAGATATTTCTCCTAGAAACACCTACGAGCCATCACCTCCTTTCCTATCACTGTTGTATCACTGTTCCCTGGGAGCAGAAGCTGACCTTCACCACACCTCAAACATGTTTCAGGGAGTTGCAGAGAGTGATAAGGTCTCCCTTGGAGCCTTATCTTCTTCAGACTCAACAATCCTAGCTCCCTCAGCCACTCCCCAAAAGACTTGGATTCCAGACCATTCTCCACTTTCGTTGCCCCTCTCCGGACACATTCCATGGCCTCAAGGTCTTTCTTGGAGTGAGTGGCCCAAAACTGAACACACAGCTCATGTTGTGGCCTCACCAGGCAGACAATCACCTCCTTAGTCCTCTTGAATGATCTTTGAACTCTCTGATATGTACTATCTTTGTGTCTTTGTATACTTGCCTGTGAATTATTCAGGCCCCTCTATGAATTCTGTGAAAAGCATCATCGTAAACTGCAGAGCAAAGAAATCAATACGGCATAAAACTGCACTGTGATTAAACTAGAAACCTGGAATCAGACACATGGATCATCTAAAAGTAATGGTTCCTATTTATTTATTTCCATGGAAACGAAAACTGATACAAAGGGCACAATAACACAGTTTGATAGAGAAAATTCTCAGCTACAAAGCCTTTTTTTTTCCAACATAAGCACTGTCATCAGCCAATTTGTGCAGACGAGCTGCTTGAGACACTCTTTATTTCACGGTGTGACAGCTGCGCATGGCCATCCAGACCGTGGCTTGCTTTTCACATTGCTGTTGCCACTGTTGGAATGCACTCCGTGTGCTCACATCAACTGTTTGGCCTCCATAAACACTCAGCAAGTGTTGATGAATATTAATGGATGCCATTTTTTCCATGCTGTGGAATTCAAATCCAAACCTTTGCTTCATAGATACTTCCACGTCACGCACCACTTTGTCAGACTTGCACCTCTGCTGCCATCAAGATGGCCACAAAGTGTAATGAAATAGGAACAGAAAGATTCCACTTCTACCGCTGAACCAGAAACACCCACCTCTGATACCACCAGCAAACATAATAGAACAGGAGGCATTAATTTCAGTGCAGCTCTTGTACAACGTATGAATAAATATAAAATTTTGGTATTCCAGAATTATTTTGATAAAACATAATGCTCATCAGTTATGAATTTTTGTCCAGATTAAAAAAGACACTGGACTACAAATTGCCATTACGCCTCTCGTTAGTGCCACATAGCTTACAGGTGTGCCCTTAGTGCCACATAGCTTACAAGATGCCTGCCTTCTGCATGGTCTCGAACAGGGGTGATGGCAGTGACCACACCATTTCATCTCGTCTCTACTGCGATGAAAGAACAACCTGGGCTATCCTAGTGGTTGGTTTCACCCCAGGAAATTCAGCCAAATCTCATCTTTGTCTTTTGTAGTGAATTCCACAAGAGTGGGACTCATGGTGGCTATACAAGCCAGTAAACAAGGCGTTGCAGTTTCTTGTCACAGGCTACAGCTTTCTAATATGCCAGCAACACATGGCTCTGAGCTTGCTTAGGCCTGCCTGGAGACTTATTTGAGCTCCTTCAGCTGTTGACAGCAATTGTCTACTCACCAAGCCAGTAGTGCTTGCTTTTTCTTTACCTGGCTTGAAACAAGCTCCTGCTCTGACACCTAATGTATAATTGCAGCTATTGGATATTGTCCTGCTATGTGTACCTGCTGAGGTGCATTTAGAAAGACTACAGCACAAACACAGCGGAATCTGCCCAGGCAGAATATCAAAGACAGGAGGGGCTTGTGCAAATACATATGCAGTAAAAGGAAGGCTAGGGTGAATGTGTAGAATTCACCAGTAGAATGGGGCAGGGCAGGCATTAAGGGCATGGAGGGCATGGAGCCTCCTGTACTGCATGTGGTCATCCAAAACAAGATTTGAGAAAATCGTGAAGAGCTCAGAACCACAGTGTGACTCCATCAGTGCCAAGACAGAGATGTCATGGACAGCTCTGGGCAAGAAATTGTGGGGGGGACCAGGCACTGTGCACGACACCAATGAAAGAAAGTGCCACGCATTTGTGAGAAAAGTGGTGTTTCGTGAGGGAAAATGCCACATATTTTGGGTACAAATGGTATTTCTGTGATCAAATGCCAAAAGTCTGGCAGTGAGTGTCATGATGAGGAGTGTAATGCAGTCTGTTTGGGAGGAAATGGGAGGTATTTCTAAGAGCACTCTATTTTTCTGGGAGAGAATGTCCTATTGAGGGAAGAAAAGTGGTATTTCTTACCAAAAACGCCATCCAGTTCGGAGACAATCTCCTATATGTGGGAGAAGAGTAGTATTTCTGTGAGAAAATGTCCTATTCTTGGTTGCAAGTGCAAAATGTGGTCTTGTCCTCTGATATTTTGGGGAGAAAACCTGTGGTAGTTGTAAGAAAATGGGTATTTCTGGGAGAAAATATCCTATTTTTGGAAGAAAAGGTCAGCTTTCCAACTGAAACGTGGTATTTCTGTGAGAAAATGACCTACTTGTTGGAGCAAAGGGGGAAATTCTGGGAAGGAATGTCTTCTATTTGAGAGCAACTGTCTTCTTTTTGGAGTGCAAACCGGTCCTTTGGGGAGAAAATAGGGTCTATATGGGAGAAAATGTCCTCTTCAGGAGTACTTTTGAGAGAAAATGGAAGGTATTTCTCAGAAAACGGCAATTTCTGGGAGAAGACAGCATGCTTTGTTGGAAAATGACATCTATTTGTGAGAAAGCTGGGATTTTGGGGAGAAAATGCCACATTTTAAAAAATAAGCTGGTATTTCCGGGGGAATATGTCCCATCTTTGTTAGAAAACTGGAATATCTGTGATCAAATGTCATTTTGATGGGAGTAAACATGATATTGAGGAGTGTAAAGTAGCGCTCTTGGGATGAAATGTGAGGAATTTCTAAGGGTACTGGCATTCCTGGGAGAAAATGTCTTGTTTCTGAGAGAAAATGTCGTCGTATTTTGGGGGGAGAAACTGGTATTTCTGTGGTAAAATGCCCTATTTCTGGGAATAAGTGTCATATTGAGGAGTGTGAAGTCGTATTTTTGGTAGAAAATGGGAGGCGTTTCTAAGAGAACTGGTATTTCTGGGAGAAAATGTCTTATCTTGGGGGGGAAAGTTCCTATGTCTGTGAGAGAGCTGTGTTTCCGGGAGAAACTGTCTTCTTTAGCCAGAAAAGATCACATATTTGTGAGTAAGCTGGTATTTCTGGGAGGAAATATCATGTTTTTGTCGGAAAATGTCACATTTGCTACTGTCACGTAGTATTTTGTGGATGAAACATGAAGCATACCTAAGAAAACTTGTATTTCTGGTAGAAAACGTCATCTCTTTGGGGAGAAGACTGGTATTTCAGGGAGAAAAGATCCTTGTTTGGGGAGAAAGTGTCCTATTTTTTGATGGAAAAGTGCTACTTGTGGGAGAAAACGCCATGTATTTGGGTGAAGGGTGGGATTTCTGGGAGGAAATACCGCATGTTTGGAAGAAAGTGTCCTCTTTCAGATTGAAACGTGATACTTGTGGTCGAAACTGTCCTACGTTTGGGCGAAAACTGGTATTTCTGGGAGATAATGTCATTTTATTGGAGCAAGCCATTATTTTGGGGAGAGAATGTCTTATTTTTGGAAGATAATGCCATACCTGGGGGAGGGGGAACTGGCATTTCTGGGAGAAAATGTCATCTTTTGGGGAGAAGATGTCACATTGAGGATTGTCGTATTGTCGTATTGTTTGGAGAAGGCCTGAGGTATTTCTAAGAGAAGTGGTATTCCCAGGAGACAGTATCATATTTTGGGGGAGTGGGGGAGGGGTCATCATCAATTTGGGAGAAAGCTGGTATTTCTGGGAGAAAACATCCTCTATTGAAGAGCCAAGGGGTATTTCTGGCAGGAAATGTCCCACATTTGGGAGTCAAGTGGCATTTCTGTGATAAATGCCGTATTGTTGGGAGTAAGTGTCATATGAAGGTGTGCAAAGTAGTCTACTAGGGAGGAAATTGGAGGTATTCCTTTGAAAGCTGGTATTTCAGGGAGAAAACGTCTTCTTTCTGGGGGGAAATGTCATCTGTTTGAGAGAATGCCGATAAGTCTGGAAGAAGATCTATTTTTGGAGGAAACTGTAATATTAGGGAGAGAAAAGTGGTATTGCTGGTCAAAGATGTCTTAGAGTTGGGATAACGCTGGTGTTTCTGGGAGAAAATATCCAAACTATTTTGGATGCAAATGTGGTCTTTAGGGTTGAAATGTGGTATTTCTGGGAGGAAATGGAATATGCATGAGAGAAAACTGTTCCTTTGGGGAGAATGTATCCTATTTTTGGCGGAAAATGTCCTACTGAACAGTTTAAGTCTGCATTTTTTGGAGAAAATGTAAGTTATTATCAAGAAAACTGGTATTTCTTGGAGATTATCACATATTTGGTTGGAAAATGTGGTATATTTGAGAGAATGCTAGTATTTCTGGGAGAGTGTAGCATATATTTTTAAGAGAACACGGAGTACTGAGAGGAAATGTCATCATTTTTTGGTGAAAAAAACATATTTAGGGGAATAGAATCATGTTTCTGGAAGAAAAAGTGAGAAAACTGGTATTTCTGGGAGAAAATGTCATACATGAGGGAGAAGAACAGTATTTCTGTGAATGAATGCCATCAAGAATTTCTGCATTTTTCTTTTTCTTTTTCTTTTTTTTCCATGAGTGATTTGGATCAAACTTGCCAAAGATATCAGAAACTCCAAGAAACTGAGCCAGATGCAAAAGTTGATAACCCGAATGCATTGCAACTCAAACCTCTTTCTACTAAGCCTTCTTCAGACAGTATCAATTCCAAGAAGGTTGCCTGAAACTTATCAGTTGAGGAGCTGCCTACTGATGCAATGAGGAAAGTAGAACAAAAGTACATGCTTGATTGAGACTGTACTCAATCAGTCAATCTTACAGCCTCACACCACATCTACAAGACTATCTGCAAGATGAAAAAACAGCCAAACCAAAAACAAAGATACATTTAGTCTTTTCTCAGGTAAGAACCAGTAGTAGGTCGGTAGGTAAGACTGTAAGAACAAGTTAGATGGGTAGTAATACTTTTCCATGATATTTCAATGTATTTACATGAGATTTTCATTCATACATAGGTTAAGAATTTCCTGAGACAAAAGTTTCCCGGATATTTATTCCATTGCTTTCCCTCCTTCTCCTTCAAGAAATTCCCCAATTTAATTGCGTTCAGGATGAGGAGCCACCTCTTCTTATTTATTCCAAAGCTGTCACTTTCTAGTTATTTCATAGCTACCATTGTCTAGTTTTATTTGACACACCACAGTTCTGGTGTTGGAAAATACAGTGAACCATAATTTCCTATTGATCTTTTCTAAATTATTTGTGTTTTAAATAGAGCTCTATAATATTGCATTTAAACCATGTATTTTGCAAGCTGAAAAGTCCTTTATTAACTGCTTGTGAAGACATCCT